GCTCCACTAAGGAACTTCAAGAAGCTTTCTAGTAAACCCGGACTCACGGTGAATCCGTTCTACACAAATTTTTTCCTTATTAAAGATGTGGTTGGAAATGATAAAGCGTTGAAACTTCTTATTTTGTTAATATGTTGACGATAATATAAATTGCCTACACATAGTAATAATATAATAAATTTAAAATTACTATCAAGATGATGGAGACGTTTAGAGTAAAAGTCTTTTATCTATTAATACATATATATATATATAAATGAGAAGTTAAAAAGTTTTAGAAATTTTATGGAAATTTTGATAATAATCGTACTTCCATGTAAGAACTAGATAATGTAATTTATTTTTTCAACATCTTCATTTACATTTATTTAAATTCGTCAAAGTGAGAGTAGTAAATGATAAGTTTTCCAAATATTAATACTTATTAATTGTAAAATAAGTGAGAGACAATACTAAGGCCTTGTTTGGTTTATAAATAAAAACACGTGAAGTTGAAATTCCTAGGAATTGAAATTCTTTGGAGTTGTTTGGTTGACAAATTCATAGGAAGTAGAAATTCCCATGAATTTCCACTTCCCACGAAATGGAGGCATTTAATTACCTAGGGAGACCTAGGTAAGTGAAACTTCCCATAGGAATTTCCACTTCCTATGGTTTACCAAACACAATTTAGCATTTTCTAAGAATTCCAATTACATAGGAATATAATTTTTCAAGGAATTTGCATTTCCCACATTCAACCAAACGAGGCCTAAAAGAAACGATTGGACCAAACCAGGAGAAATTTAATTAGATTGGACTAGAGAGGTTTATTCTTAGAGTTAGAAAAATACTTTTCATGCCGAGTTATTATAAAATTCTAATTATCAGTACACAACCCATGCATATCTTAATTTTGAATATATGTAAATGAAGATGCTGAAAATGTATTCATTTATATTTAGTGACCTAATTATTCTATTGAGTTGAGTTTAATTTGAGAGCAAGGTATATATGAAAATATCAAATTATTACATAGGCCAAAGTAAAGTCCAAATTGGTAATACTATGTATAATGCATGTCTTCAACTAAAATTGAAAAAAAAATATACAAGACGTGATCGAAAATGAAATATTTTGCATTGTATTTTAATTCATATTTGAAATTTCTTATTTTGTTAAGTATTGGCGCGCATTGTAATTTGCTATTGCCATTTTTAATCTGTTATTAAATGACAAAATAAAATTGATTTTTTTTACAAGTAGATTTTTTCACTTTTACTAAAAAATTTATTTATCACCATCACAAGCGCACTTCCAAAATTTCAATCCTAACAAAATATCCCACCTTTAACCGTACCAGCAATATGTTTTATACATTTAAAAATAAATCGATGAAAACATTTTCTAAATTATGAGTTCCTTGGTCGGAGCGTAGACGGGCGAGCAGAGCCAGTTTTTAAGACCTCACTAATAAGTCTTAGTTAACTTAGTGAAAAATGATAGTTTTCAAATCAACTCCTTATTACATCAATTTAGCTCAGCTAATCCAAATGAACAAAATTTATAAATTTCGGTAGTTTATAATTTATCATCACCGGTTGTACTAAGCATGGTACAACCAATTGCTGGCGCAAAAGCTGACATTATGTCAATTTATGCGTTTTATTATCTAAACTTATTTTGTATAAACTTATGTTATCGTATCTTACTTTTTTTCTAAACAAATCAAAATAAGCTATGGAAAGCAAGTTCACAATACTTAATGTCGAGTTCCATTAATTCCAAGCTTTTGTTATAGACAAAGGTCATAGTTGCGTCGGTTCGCTCTATTTCAACTAATTATTATGCGTAGTATTTTTTTTTATTGCTTGCATAATCATACGAAATTAAACTAGACCAACAACATTAAACTTACCAATTGACTGTTGATGAAGTGGTGATTGGGACTACACTTGGTAGGAAGGATCGCGTGTTCGATCCCCACAACAATAATTGGGAGGGGATTGGAATCTAACCGCCCAAAACTGATCTCTGAATCTAGATCAGCTAAAACGGTGAATCAGGTGGAACACCAAAAAAAAAAATCTATTTAACTTGTTTTCATTTGTTTTTGATTAATGCAACAATTTTTATATGGTAACAACTCACTACAATTTTATTACTTATTTGTCTCACTAACAATTAAATATACCCTACTACTTATTAGAGTTGATAAACGTGTCGTGTCGTGTTCGAAGTTAAACAGGTTGAAGGACCTCAACACTAACTTGACTCATTTAATAAACCTGTCGTGTTGACCCTTTTAACTAATCGTGTTGAAATGTCTTAACACTAACCCGCTTTATTCGTATCCGGTACATGTCGTGTTTCTTCTTATTATAAGTAAAAATATTAGCCTCATTCAAAATATTTATCATAAATTCCATAAAATATTGATTATTTTTTTAAGCAGGTTGATTCGTGTTAGTTTTGTGTTGGAATTCTTAACCTTAAACCAACCTGGTTAATTAAACGTGTTATGTCGTGTTGACCCGTTTAATCAATTGTATCATAAATCCTTGACACTAACACTTTTTTCGTGTCCAACTGTGTCGTGTCAATTTTTGCTAAACTCTACGTAATACCTATACTTTATATTTCAAAATTCTTAATTTAATTCTCACTTTATAATTTTCCTAAAATCATGTGTCAAATCTAATGTTATAATTAATAAGTAACGGAGGAAGAATAATTGCAAAAAGAGAAAACATGAGGGCAATAATACAATGTATTGTAGGAGTGTAGGACACATTAGAAAATAGAGCATATAAATGTGGGGTTGCCACGTATATTACACCTCAAATAACACGCGGCAAACTACCTTCCCAAAAGCCCCAAAACACTGAAAAAATGAAGGAAATTCAATGCCTTTATATTTGAAAAAAATACATTGATAATTTGAGAGAACTTTCAAATTCATTTTGGGTGAAAAATTATGGAAGAAACCAATTTAAGCAGAAGAAATAGTAGGATGGAAGAACAACATAAATCTTGTTTCTCAAATATGAAAAATAGTTGCCTCACCTTTTGTGTTTCCGTCCAAGAATGTCTTGGCTATTGCAAAGCCTTTGTTGTTGGCCAGGTACCTTCTTTTTAATCTTACCTTTTTTTTTTAATTTACAATGGAAGTTATTAAACGATATTTCAATTGTATTTTGTTCACCTTATTTTTACTTATATATTGAAAAATACTCAGTAAATTTTGTTTACAAAGTGTGTGAGTTCCTCTATCTTATTTTTACTTATTTTAGGAAAATGAGTTCAAATAAATAAGTTATGATAGGTTAGTTCTATTGGGTTTGAGAGTGGAGAACGGTTTCAAGAAGGCTAAGGGGGTGCATAGCTTAGGAGATTAAGCTATGGGCTATTGCTTGGTGTAAAGCAATGGTGGATGTCAAAGGGCTGACTTCAAATGGGCATATCTCAAGATCTAGAAGTGATATCGAGATGATTCAAGTTGCAGGTGATAGCTCGTCTCAAGAGCTTTCCAACGCCTGGTCATAAGCTCGATTTAGTTAAGAATCAAGGGAGTTATGACCATTTTACGAAGACCTGTCTGAACAGTGCGGGAGTTCGACCGAACTTCTGAAAGGTTCGGTCGAACCTGTTGTAGATTTTCATTTGCAAAAGCTACTGACTCGAAGTTCGAACGAACCTCTGGAGGTTTGACCGAACCACACTTGGTTCGGTCGAACATGGGGTAGGTTTGGTCGAACCTCGTGTATGCCCTGTTTCCTACGGTTTTGCGACTTAAGCGATGTGGGTTATTTAAGACCGTAGGATTGTTTTATTTAGCCTAGCACTATATATACTCATGTATTTGTCATTGTAGAGTGAGAATGATATGAAGGGAAAGATGTAGAGATAGAGAGAGCCTCATGTAAACCCAAACACTTAGGGTTTAAGTGTTTGAGAGGGTGAGCTTGGGGTGGGAGCTTTAATGGTGATTGAAGCTTGTAATCTACATTGTTTTTCATCAAATTGTTACTCCATAGTGGATTGGTGGGTTTTTCTCCCGGTTCTCGGGTTTCCCACGGTAAATTCTCCTTGTCTTGTTTATTACTTGTTTTTCCGTCTTCATGGTTGTTAATTGTCGTTAATCGCAAACTTAGCTAGCACATTCGTAATCCCTTTCAAGTTCAAATTAGGGAAAATTTGGGAATAATTAGTATACTTAATCTCAGTTTTGGCTTCTAACATCTTAGTTATCAAACTATCAATCAATCAATGTCTCTATACACATGACTACATGAGTAGTAATGTAGTATAAACTTACCTCAAATATAAATTACTTGTGGTTATGACAAACAATAATGGGGTATATCCCCGTTACCGTAAGCAATTACCATATACTCCGTATTAATAGTGAAAGATACCAATGATGTCTTGGCCTAGTGATTAAGAATGCGGGTCTGTGTACAATTGTACGCTAAGTTGCAGGTTCAAATTCCTCACCTCTATTTGTAATTTGTATTGCCCTTGACCCTTGTGCGGCTCCTTGAGTAAAAATCAGATGAAAAGGACCTGACTTGCATCGAAGGTTAGCTAGGAATCACTTCATTTGCATCCATTGTTCGTATTCCACACGTTTGATCATATTGACTAACAATGGTGTGGTGTCTTCAACTTATTTTTGGTAAATTGATTTAAATTAAACTTTACTGCATTTTTTACATACTTCTGTTCAACTACATTGAACAAATTTGGGCTGGAAGTACTGACTTTGTTTTATCAGTTGAATTGAGTTGGAACTTTCGTACATCGTTAATCATGTGGAGTAGTGTCCCTAGTTAATCCCTGTGATTCCAATCTCATGTCTTTTTTCCCAATTACCTCTGCATAAACCCTGAATATATATCCAAAAAGTCCCGAAATTAGACTAAACAGTCCGGTCCTTGGTAATATTTTAGTGTACAATGTTCTCATGTTGCTCACTTTCTATGGGGTGTGTGTGCGTGTCTGCAGGGGAAAACATTGACGGCAAGAAACGAGAAGGAAGCAACAATAGCTGATTTACAAACAGCTAAGATGCAAGTAAACGCGACAGATGCTGCAGAGAAGAAGAAAAGGGAGATTCAAAATTCTAACTAAATTACTCGTGCAATCTTACTGCAGGTTAAAGGTATTGTGGTGCTAATTAATAGTTATTCCATATCATTTTGTATTGTTATTTGTTAATTGTGATTTATTTTTGAGTTTCAAATGTAATGTGTTTTCAAAAGGATATTGAAATACCTTGCTTGCATAATTATTGCATTATCAGATTTTTTACCGCCATGTTCACCTTTATTCATTTTATTGTTTCCATAAGACTAAGACGTACTACGTGTCTGCATATGGTTTTGAGGGAAACATTTTCAACTGATAATTATTTTCCAAAAGTTAATTACTCATATAAACAACTGTAAAGTTAAATGGTGTCAAACAAAAAAAAAAAAAAACTATTGAAGTTAAATAAGCCTAACTTTTTAATCCAAATCTGTGTGATTTTGAGATACAATCACCTAACTGTTAGAGATAGGGGGTACTACATATCATGGAACACGTGCATATAGAGCTAGCAAAAGTAAGATATATGTAGATAACCAAGAAATATATGGCAAAAATCACCTCATCTTTCTACACTAAAAAGAAAAATACATATACACATCAATGGTTAGTTGGTAACTCAATAATACTAATTAGACGAAAAAAAGTTTTAAAAAAGTGTCCTCTCCTAAAAGTAAATTGGTAGAAATAATTAAACAAGTAACAACAAAAAGGGTTAGAGAAATCAGCTCCCAAAATGTCACCAAAAAACAGCCCCCTAATAGTATTAGGATTGACCATAGTATATCAGGATTCAGGAGTATAAATTTGTGCAAGATGCATCATTGTTATTTTCATTGATTTGATCGAGGATTGAATCAATTTTAGACTTTTTAATTAGTGGGTTAGCTTTTTTTTTCTTTCTTTTATTACCCATGTCTTCACTTAGGACTGGTTGGAGGGCCTTCGAGCCGAAGATAATCATACATGATCCCTTGGAAAGGACTTACTCCCTTTGATTGAGTCAAAAATAGAGTATTGCTGCCTTTGTTGAGTTCACTTCCTTTGACATCTACGTTGTAAAGCCAATAAAGTCCATGAATACCATGCCTTGCAATTGAGTTATCATTACCTATTTTCCCAGTTGTAAAGATTGGAGGACTTGGTTTTGGCTTGTTGAATCGTATCTAGTAGACATGAATGACAAAAAAGCTACATTAGCATGCATCTAAGTAGTATACAATAGTACTATACAACTCTCATTAGCACGCAATTTTTGACAATTTTTCAGTCAAAGTTAGAAATCAAGCTAAAGTCGAAACATGTGATCAAGAAATGTTTATGACCCACTTTAAGTTAGATTTAGCCATTCAGGGTACGTTCTCTTCACCTAAACTTATTTGAACTTAACTTTGTAGATCTAATTAAACCCGACTAGCCTGATTTTCACCCTATGTTTACACGGTTACACCTAATGAGCCCTGAAACTTATCTTTTAAGGTGAACAGATTGCATCCTTATTATTTTTTTTCCCCTATATAAAAGGCTAAAAGGGAATGCATTTGTACCTGCAAGTCGGAATTGGTGGCAGAGGCTATAGCCAACCTGAGTTTGTAGGTTGCATCTAATGCAACATCATCCAGATTGAATTTGACTGACCATGTGGTTCCATTATACCTTCCACCTAATGGCCTGTAACTCCGTAGGAAACACATCCATTGAAGTTTGAGAAAACATGGTACAAGAATTATTTTTAAAAAATGGCATGAAAAATGTCCAAAATGAGAGGAAGTATTAACCTTGTGACTTGAGCATAGAACCAATCCTTTGAGTAATCACTTGCATTAACATCATAGACTAAGTCATCCTTTGGATATAATTCTGCATATCTTTCCCACAAACCGTATTGCCTAAACCTGTTCATAATCATAAGAAATCGGATTAAGTTGTAAAAACAATTCACTAACCTTATTGCCTATATTTCAAGAAAACAATACGAAGCATATATATATATACGTAGTATGAATATTAGTTGTCTCCAAAATTAGAGTTTAAGAGAAGTGCGAATATACCTATCAGGGTGATTAACATATAGCTTATTGACGTATTTTGGATTAGGATCAGGGATGAAGAATTCCCTTGCAAGACGATCAGGAACGCCTATTTCCCATAAGGTTGGTCCATCCCTCGGTGGCTCAAACACAACCTCACCCACATCTACATTCTGTCCTGAATTACCAATTAGTAGTAATTTAGCATTAATAGGCTGCTTATATCAAGTACTCCCTCCATCCAAAAATGCAAAGATAACACATATGGAGTTCCAATCGTAAACCAAGACTGTTTTAAAAAACGTGACAATTTTTTTTTGGAAATATATGGTTCTGTTGATTCCAAACAGAATGTTATATAACTTGTCATGTCACTAAGATGCAAATGAAACAGATTGATTAAGACTTTCATAATTGAAGATGATCAAAGAAAATTTACCTACTGTTATGTTGATAGGCACATTGTGTTTAAAGTCTCCAATAAAGCCATCAACCCAACCATGAAGGTTGTAGCTGCCAACTCGTACAAATGAAATTGTGAAATTCCCATGCTGATCTGTTCGTGTCCAGAATTGGTAAGTCTGTTGAAGCAGCACAAAAAGGTTTTACCACAATATATTTTCTAAGCAAGTTGTTAACGAGAGGATATATTATATAGGTATATACTCTGTACTTTGTACTTGATTTGAGATCAAAGTGAGTGATCAGTTTGTGATTCTAAATTGGTTTCAATGTGTCTAAGGACAACAATCTTAGTTTATCCAATTCTTATATATTGGATTGTTTTCTACTTCTAGAGTATTCAATGTGATCGTGCACGTTCATCCTTCATTATATTAATTACTATGTAGTGTCAAAGAGTTTTTAATTTTTTTTTTAATTTTTTTATCAACCCACTCCTCGTTTACGACATGAACCTCGTTATTTAAGGTTGTTGTGGATCAACATAGGTGAGGTCGAGACACTTTCGAAAGCATTGAGACAACAATGTTAGCTGATATAGGTTGAATATGAGAGTATTAGACAATATCTTTCAAGTAGCGGATAATGTTTTGACTTAACCAACGAACAATATAAAGTTAAAATGTAGTGTTCGAATGAAAGGGTAACGATTAATACAAAGATTAATATAACTGAGGAGCATAAAGCCCATATTAGTACCTTGCTATCCCTTTGCCAAGATCCTGCTTCTCCTGGTGGACCTAGTCCAATGAATGCATTTCTTGCTGGCCCCTTTTCTTTGCTCAGATATCTGAAACATTCATTTTGGTTCAACTTATGAGGAGGCTAACTGGGATATTAATTTTTTTCGGAGTAATAAGGTGTAAAAATACGGATTACCACCCTTGATTCTAAGAAAAATTTACATAAAGTAAAATAACATATTTAGGAATGCCTAAAATTATTTCTAAGAACATTTGGAGAGTTTTATAAAACTATTGTATCGAAAAAGTATAAGGTTACCCATTTATAAACGGTATGTTTTATGGGAATTTAATAGGAGATGTTTTCTTTGCTAGTTGGTTATATATTGTAGCCCTTGTAGGGTGATTTATGCATTACCATCTCTTGGTAGGATCAGAGTCAGTCCCTCACAAGGGAAGAATGTCGTTCTTATTAGTGGTATGTGGTACTCGATTCTGGTAGGATGTGTAACATGTGTTGATTGTGTTCATTGATTGATTTTCATTGCTATACACGAATAAGCCTATACAATGGGTATTGATTATATTCTTCCACTCCTTTCACCCAAATGTGATAAATCTCTACTGAAAATAATTGTGTTACAACATCAGTATGTATGTCACATTGCTCACATTTTTATTCACCACACTATATTATTTCATATAGGAGTGTAAAATAGAGACTTACCTGTCATGAACGAAAAATCGTCCAGTAACATTAACTCGTTCATTGGCTTTAGGGAAATCTTCTGATGTTGGGAAGCTGTATGGCCATTGTTTGACTTCAGATAACATCTTCAGAGATGAGATGAATAGAAATGTTAATTATGTAATTCAAGATCAAGCTAATTGCAGGAATTAATTTAATTTAAGTTTATTTTTGAGAATTATATGGAATGAAAAAAATTGCACCCTTTCTTTAGCATCATCCCAAAGCAAAGGAAGATCTTGTCCGGTGGTCACATTATTCATATACATAAACATAGGGCCATATATATGATTCCATGGTTCTCCTTCAGCAAATCTCGGTATTAGGTCTTCTCCTGAGTAGTGTGCACTTACAAACATCTGTTCATAATATTCAAATCAGTATCAATGTATTGTATACTATTTTAAAATGTTTGGAAAGTCGGGATATTTTCTAAATTGTACCTAGACATTATGGCCACACACCCACTGTGTCTATCATACACTAATAAGTATCTAAAAATACATACATCCACACCAATTCTAGATAGATGTAATGTGCATTTGCGCACTATCTACAATCGTTTAATTCCCTAATCATCGATTTATTGGTATGGTGTACTTATTTTTAGGTTTTTTTGTGCTTACTAGATATGAGGAAATCAATAAGTGCTTTAGTTATATCGCGGTGAAAGTATCCTTAATTATGTAGAATTGGGACAATGTGACGATTCATTCTAGAGTGAAAGTATACACTCAGAGAAGAAACTTACAGCAAGAGTGGATGGGCCGACGTGAGAGGTGAGGAATTGTTTGTTGGGCCCGCCCGAACGGAACTCATAGCTGGGAGTAATTTGCCAGAATCCAGTAGGCGGGTCTTTACTGATCCACCCATGTACTCGTATGTCTTGGCTTTCCATTGAATACTGGTACTTGTCATCCACCTGCCATAAAAGCCAAGCTTAAACCGATCTCAGGACTAGTCATGAAATTCAATCTGTCCGGTATTAGTTATCACGTACCGTTTAAATTACTCCCAATACAACGTGTTTCATATTTAAACTTTTGAATATGTCAATATGTTATCGGTTGTATTTTCTTGTACACGACTAACTTATGGGTGTGTTTTATATAACAATCTTGTTAATAGTCCAGTTTCTAATATCGAATACATATCATATGGAAGCATCGTATGCTACCGAACATACCTCTCCTTTAAATTGTGGATCGGTAGGATTCTTCAATATCACTGCTTCAGGATAAATAAGCTCTTCAGCTCTATTCTTCATACGATCCTCGGGTGCAGGCATTTCTCTTTGCCTATTATCTGCAATCACCATGTACTTAAACCTGGCCAAAATCACCATATAGGCATATAACATGAAAATCGGTTAAATTATACTAGTATATGACTACGTTGCATTCAATTTACAAATTCATACACCATTTAAAAAAATTGCAAAGGTTTCAAGCATACTTACTGCTGTCTTTGAAGCTTGAAAGCAAGCCTAGCATTAGGCATACCAAAAGCAGGCCAAGCTGCCCTCTCAAAGATACCGTAGGCATATATACCAGATACTCCACGAAGCATCACATACCTATACCAATTGTTCATATTACACTCGTTAGTTTCTGTTTGGAAATAGAGCAACAAATGAACACAATAACAGGAAGAACTCAATTGGTATGTAACATTTGAGAAATCTACTCACATTATTTACATACCCGTGGCATTAATCAAAGGCAAAACCATGTACGAAATGGATTTATGGTAACTTATTATGTAACTTGTCGTGCTAGCTATAGTTATTTTTCTTCATTTTACGTGTGACATTTTACTTTCTTGGAGAATACATTCCATTTTTACGATAACTGTGTGTGAGATAGGCTAACTTAAGACTCAATGTGTGACAATAGCAAGTGTAGCCATAAACCAGTTGGAAAACTAAAATGTTTTAGTTTGAGCAAAGCCGTAAAGGAAATAAGAAATGGTTCTTAGAAATTGAGATTTTATTTGAATAAGACACACAGTCTAATGAAGGTGTTTGAGTAATTTGACACAAGTTTCATTAAATCATAACCCTCTTATAAATACACAACACAAATGTCTTGAAGTTAAATCATACCTTTGATCTATTTCCATTGGAGCAACCTTTTTACCACCAGTAGCAGGATCGTATGATATCTTAAACGATAATTCTAATTGTTCTTCTTTTTCAAGAATAACTCGAAAGTCAGTACCGATTATCCTGTTGATTGAAATTTTAAAAAATAATTTGGGCACAATTCTAATATATACTACAGTAGTACTAAAATTGAATATGACCAAATGGTCCAAATCCTTGATTTGTGTAGAAATACCTAGTATATATACCGATTTTTCCTTGTTTTTTTTTTTCTCCAATTTATTTAAAGTAAACACGAAATGTAGATAATATACTACCTTTGGAAATTTCCTTTGGTTCCTTTTGTACCAGGTGGAGCCCAAACAACATCCCAATACCTAAATAGAACATTAACATTTACTCGTATATTAGAGGTAGTGAAAATTAAAACTCCGTAATACTTCGAATTAGTGATGTTAAACATTAACTTTTGTGTAAGCAATGTTGAGAAGTGTCTAACTAGTGCCAATAGTTGGTGACAACTTAATTGTTCTCGTGTAACTTTGTAATAAAAAAAAAAAGTTACAATGACAAAAAAAGCTTTCTTTTATATTAGTATTGAACATTAATAAGTATACCCTCTATCATCTTCTGGATTGACTGTATCAAGAATGTTATCAACTCCATTGTATTTGATGCCAGTGACAAATCCACCAGGTTTGGCTATTGTAGCTTGCAGAAATCCGTTATCCATAATTACCTACAACAAAACACACAACTTATTCTACTATGTTTTTTTTAAAACACTTGAGCTAAAATATATGGATAAAAAATGTTTATTGGTAGTGTCACATAACAAAACACTTCATATTAAGTACGTACTAGTTTTTTTCTTACAAAATGTACGTAGTTGTTCACAAGTTTCCCATTTAACTAAAATATGACTAGCTTACATATTTGTCTTGGACGGTGAGTTTGACTGGTGGGAATGATTTCGCCGGAGGTGACGATGGAGGCTCATCGGCTGGCTCTTCCGCAGCTGGCCCTTCCGCTGTTGGCCCTTCTGCTGTTGGACTTGCATCATTTGGCATTACTTTTGGTGTTTGTGGTGGTGTTGGTGACTTTGGCTTCAATGGTGCTTCTGGTTTTTTGCTGCCCAAATGAACAATTATAGTGATGGAAATAAATAAAACGTTTTATGGTGTCACATTTCTAATAACCTCATTAAACTATCCGTAATCCCATTAAAGTTGTACAGAGTATTAGTAATCCAATAACCCCGTTTACACTCAACTAATACATACCATTAACCTCGTATAAGGTCAATATTAAACTTTTTTGAACACATCACACTATTAACTAACAGTGTAACACGTCTCATCATATGAAAATTTGTGAGGCAAATTTGTTTTCAGCTTCATACCTCATACATTATTAATATTGGATATGAGTCTTTAACTCCTCCCTTAACATAGTACCACTTTCAAACAATTCATAAGAAATATAATTTTCCGAAAAAAAATAATTAAAGCTATTATTCATTAGGTACAATAAACGATATGTCACGTGTTGATGCATATATGACACACATTCTCATGCGAATCACACACGCGTCACAAATTGCCTAGGCATATGTATGTACATGGTACGCCCGAGGTGATGTAGACCAAATGAATAAAAGGAATGAACATAAAGCCATATGAAATACATAAGAAAACTTACCCATTGTTATACATTTTGGAGGTACAAGCAGCATTAACCGAAACACTGGATATATCATTGCATGAAATCATGAAGGGATAAAGTTTGGTCTTGAAAGGACCAGAAAAAAACTTGAGATCTCCACTAAGAGATAATTTAAGCTTCATATCCTCTGGTTTCACATTCTTTTTTAGTTCAACCTCATTTTTGGTACTTACTTTCAACTTTGATACACCCTTAGACTTTTGTACAAAATTTTGGACGTGGGTTTCCCCTAAATGTGCTTGTACACCATCCCAACTCGTGTCCATCACCATATTCCCAAAATCAACACCAACCAAAGGATTTTTGTTATCGGATTCAAAGAAAAAATCAAGATCTGTTGATAACACTTTTTGTTGATCGGTTAACACGTTAGCAACACTAAATTTTGAAACTTGAACATTTTTTACTTGGAAATTTGGCACATGAGCCTTCTTGAAGGCAACGAACAAAACTATGGCATTAATACATAAGGCAATTAGGATGATAACAATTAAGGCAATGCAAAAACATTTTATGTAGGCGCCCTTTCGTTGCCTAGGCCTATTTGTGTGAAAGTCATACTTGCCATGCGCAGGCGGTCTTGGGAGCTCTACAGAGGCTGAGTCCATTGGGGGGAGAGTGTTCTTAATATATGTTAGCCACTCTCCCTCGTCGTGATTTCTTTTTTCCTTTTAATTTTTGGTTTCACTTTGATTGTTGGAGGAAGAGATGAACTATTACGCCTAAAGAAAGGAAGACAAAGGTCCTAAACCGAAGTTTGATGTTTGTCAAATGTATCTATTGGTGTCAAAAGGTGTTTGCCTAAATTTAGTGTTTTTTTTCATGGTTTAAGCCAAGTTGTCATGGGTGGAGAAATGATGTAAGTAAAGTTGAAGGTTGATATTATCTATCCTTTTATTGGGCTTCCACAATTTCAGGAAAATTTTGTGATTCCACCATAAATTTATGGCATAATTTTCTCCATGTTTTGGAGCCTAAGCAAATTATAGATTTTCCATTGCAATATCTCTTTCCTTTCCTAGAATTATTACAAATGATACGTTCTAAATCAATTATTAAAATGATGATTAATCCATTTCATAGATTATTAACAAATCTTAACCAAGGGTTGTTAAAACATGAATGGATCAGAAATCGCTTTAATAGAGAAATTTTGAGGAAATTTTATACGGAGTACATTTATATGAAGCACATTCACGGTAAACTATTTGTGTTAAAAATAACTTGAAAGATGAAGGTTGATGTTGGCAATGCAAAAATTAGTGTGGTTTCTGTATGTCCAAAAACCGTTTGCGACTTAGAACATGATGGTTTGGGCAGCCTGGGCTGCTCAAACGGCATGTTTGAGACCCATAGACGGTTATGTAGTGAACCAGAATAAGTCTAGACCGTTTATGTAATATGGACTCCATAATGGTCGAGAACAACCATAGCTCCAACGAGTCTTATATGCAGATGCCAATAAGTGCATCTCGGATCAAACTCCAACCATCCTAGAACAATCCAGCCTGAACCAACATAAGTCTCTCAAAGGTAGGTATCGCGATGTAACTGTGACAGCAAACCCCCCTTTCTCCACAAATCATCCATTTTAGTGATTGTTTGGGTACTAAAATGGTCATACCCATTTTAGTCTTGGGTAACTCTACCCATATAAGCCCAAAGGCCATAAAAAAGGTATAAAAGGCCCCAAATAAGTCAAATACATCAATATGGCCTTCAACGGCCCACATATGTAATTTTAGGGCTCATAAACCCACTTATGTACTCATATAAATACCCCTCAAAGGGCATAAGGTAAAGAAGGAGGTCACTCTTATCATCTAAGATGACCATACTCCTCCACTCTCTCCCCTAAACTCCTCTCAAAATATGCATTGTTTGGCAACTAACTTGGGCGTCGGAGGCTCCGCCCGGGTTCAACCCCCGGGGCTCGGGGTTCATTTTGCAGGTCCATTCAAGGCCCAAATTCGAGGTTCTCAGACACCCCTCCAAGGCCCGGTTAGCTCATTTTTTGCCGAAACAGTGATTAAACTGCTACCACTAATCATGAATATAAATTCAGAGTATCAATTGCGCAGTGGAATTTGTTGAGGCCATTATAATAGTCCATTCCAATGTTTAGGAATTAAGTTTAAGATCAGATAATGATTTCACACGTTCGTCGTTCAATTTACAAACTAAATTTAGCTCCCAAGGCACACAGGCTAAGGAACAGCTAGTCATATTCATTAGAATCCCGACCAGACCAAGGTTGGCAAAACAAACGAACAATGGGCAGCTCTTGCTCAACCTAGGCTGTGGCCACCAATAATTGTTACGGAGTATTCTAATCTCTGTTCACGACGTTATCCCAAGGAAATGATGAAAAAGCATAAAATAATACTCCGTACTACGTATGTATGTATGTATAAATACAACCTAGCCTAGATAGAAGTTGAATGATAAGCAATAATTATAACTAAAATAGAGACAAAGTGGGACCAAATTACACTTGAAATAGCATGCAATACAACTAACACATACCCGCATGACGAAGCAAACTAAAGATGTCGACCTCAACACAAAGATATGAAAATGCTCCAAATCTGCTGTAAAGTTAAAGCACATTCAGTACACCAACACAACACAGAAACCACACTAAATCACTAATAATTACAGCCACCCAAAAGATCCCTCTAACAACAACACATTCACAAGTATTAACTCTACCCCACTCTCCAAGCCATACAAAAAAAAGTAATTAAAATAAAGCGAGCGAATACACGAGGGAAAAATTCGAAAAAAGAAGGGACCGGTTGAGCAGTTGTTGACTCTCCTAGGGCATACAACATGAATTTTGTTAATCTTTGTAAGGTAAGAGTCCGGAATTTTACGTACATTGACATGCCAATCTTGGATGCTTTGAGGTTCAACGAGAAGATCCGTCATCTGTGTCGATGAATGTGGTTGGATCGTTAACCTCTCTAATGCTAGGGCTACATAGTTCCTCAATTCGTTTGGTTACTTCTAGCATTGAAGGGCGAGTGTCAGGGTACTGAGCTGCACAGTCTACTGCGAGCTGTAAGAGTTGAACCATCTCCTCCTCGGCGTGTTGGTATCTAAGGAGCTCGAGATCAAACACCTCTGAAGCCCAATCATCCTTGACAACAGATTGTACCCATCTTGGGAGATCAACCCCTTCCTCATTTAACAAAGCATGTGTTGGTGCTTTGCCGGTGAGGAGTTCCAAGAGTAACACCCCAAAGCTGTAGACATCGGCCTTTTGGGATACTTTACGTGGCTCTGTGACTTCAGGTGCACGATAGCCATTGACACGGGTTGGAGTGGATGATGGCCCCACGAGCTGAGCTAGGCCAAAGTCAGACACACGAGGTTCGTAGGATTTGGTGAGGAGAACGTTGGATGATTTAATGTTTCCATGAGAGACATCTGAGCCTCTAGAGTGGAGGTAAGTAATCCCACGAGCGACTCCAAGGGCAATGCTTGACCTCAATTCCCAGTTAAGTGGTGTTCTACCGGCCCCTTTGTTTCCTATTAAAAAAAAAAAAAATTAATAGGACAAGCAACCATTAGATGGATGACCTTAAGGATTGGCAACAGCTAAAAGGTATGCTAGACAACGGAAAGTAGAAAGCATTTCATATCATTGGTTACAGAAAAAGTTTACATGAACTTCACTGCTGAAATAATGAAGACTGAAAAGAAATAAAAAAAAAACGTAGCCTAATAAGTAATCCCTCTGCCAGAATTTGTTATCAGATAATCCCAACCCTTTCAGAGTAGGAAGGACATGACATGATTGTATGTATAAAATCACTCATTATGATAGTTGTGTTACTTCTATCCCCTCCTGGGCTCCCGGTCACTTATTTTCAAGCAAGTGTATATTAAAAAGTCCAATAATAAATCAACACTACTAAAAGAAATGTGACAAAATTTACTAGACATTCTAAAACAGTACATGCGACTACCAATTCCAGATGGAGGTAGTAATGACGAGGATGGAAGAATAGTAATAGCAGTCCATAGCACAAAATGAATAAAAATGCAATAATAGTACAACCAAATATCAAATAAAAATCTCTCAAACACTAGAAGTGTAGAAAACCATTTCCAGAGCAAAATAAACCTATGGTACAGATGTGGGGTTGATGTTGTGGAAAAATAACAATAGCATACAACTCATATTTGATCCAAGTAATAATGGCTACAGTTTTAACATAATTCCAACAAAACAAATCTTTTCAACATAATTTAGGCAACAATTCAAGATATAGTAATGCCAAAGTGTAGCAACGGCACTAAACAGCTTCTTTTATGTTGGGCCCTTCATTGACTTGAGAAGGTATAGAAATTAGTCCGAATTTTATATCAGTTTTACACTCGTGAGGGTAAACTTCCTAGTTTTCTTCCCTGACAATCTACGCAATCCCCATTTATGAGGACAAAGTGCACAATATTTGCTAAAATGTAAGTTTAACAGCCTAATGATTTGAGGTCATACAGTACAATCTTCTCTTTCTTCTAGCTACAAGCGCAAATGTGCTAATTTTATATAACCTTCTCATTTCATCAAAAGAAACACAACCTTTTCGTCTTCTAACATGGGTTCGAATACCAGAATGCATGACCCTATAATTTGTGTCTAGATTGGAGTCTTTTTCGCTAGAGATTAAGGGCATAGAGAATCCTTAATAGGCGGTAAATGAACCCACACTATGCTCAATGATTAAACACCCTTAAACATAAATACAAAGACTATAATTAAGATCACCTAAAACAACTTGAAAATTGCAAGAAAGAAAACATAAACAGAAGGAGAATGTAGTTTAAGAGAAGTTGCTCACCATGCAAGAATGCGGACAAGCTTCCCGTAGGCATGTAATCAAAGACAAGAAGCTTCTCATCCCTACTGTAATAGTAAGCTCTGAGAGGCACCAAATTCTCGTGCTCCATTGCCCCAACAGCTTCTATCTTCTCCTTGAATTCTACCTCTCCAAGAATCACGTCCTTCAACCTCTTTACAGCAACCACCGTACCCATCTCCATAACCGCCTTGTAAGCTGTCCCAAATGTACCTTTTCCCAATACTTCAGCAGAAGCTCTCAACAGTTCCTCCAAATCAAACATTTTCCCACCAATCCCATTTCCGAAAAACACCAGCTTTTTAGTTACACCTCCACCATTCACCTCTTCTGCTTTCGTATGTCCAGGGGTCGCCAATGCAGCTGCTGCAACTGCGGGTACTGAATACCCACCTCCTCCATATCCACCATTCTCGACGTCCCCAGCAGGCTTCTCCTCCGGAATATCGAATCCCAATTGCTTATTGATTGATGCAAGATCAACTGCATTGCTTTCCTTATTCCTCTTCTTGCCACATACAAAGACTATAATCATCAAAATCAAAGCAAATGCCACCACAGCTCCAATCACAATCCCGGCAATCGCCCCACCTGACAATCCCTTCTTCTTCTTCTTCTTTTGTTCTCCAGTCAATATACCAGTACCTGCTCATCACACCAACAAACAACCACCTTGTTCTCAACAAAAAAAATCTCCTCAAACATAAGTAAACATTACTAAATACAGCATATAGTCAACCAACAAAAACTAGGGCCACTTTATAGTTTCTGGTTGGTAGTTGGTTCATTACTATTGTCACCAAAAATTCATCTCTCTAAAATCCAAATACTATCAACCAGAACTAAAAATAAAAACTAGTTTCCAAAAATTTGATTTTAGTTTCATTCAGAAAATCTCTAAATCAAAAACAATCAAACCCCACATACTCAAATATACAAAACCTTGACAATGTTGACATAAGACATAACAGATTTTAACCGGACTAAATATAGTAACAATTATCGAACTAACATAATTTCTTTAATTCTTTCCCTACTTGTAGCTTTCTACAATGATATAGACGAGATTCGATCCCACATACGAGTAAACCCCGAAAACAAGTAAAAACAAAAGGAAGAAAACCCATTACCTGCAGCAAGGCCAGGGCAAATTTGAAGGGGCTTTCCACACAATTTGTTACCCTGAAAAGCAGTGACAGGCATTGAACTAAGACTAAC